AAACAAACCAAAAAATGGGTAAAAAACACACAGCCCACGGCTTCCGCTTGTGGCTAGGACTGTAGGTGGCAGCTGACAGTCCTTCAGCTTTTGTTTTCTGCTCACCAGAATACATGGAGACCTGATCCAATCACGACAGCCTGGCAATCAAGGAATAGCTGTAAGTATTTTAGATAGATTGCTGTTTAATTTACCTAAAACTGCTATATTTAAAGTAAAACGTTTGTTAGAATTATAAAACCACTCAAATGCCAAATCTATTTAAGGTTTCTGACTCGTGGCAAAGAAAGCACACAATGTTTTAAGTTCTAAGTTCACAGCCTTCTTTTTCCACAACAGTAGTGAATAAAATGAGAGCAGTAAAGAAACCAAAATAGCCACTCCATAGCTAAAAGGGAAAGGTTTATTCCAAACCGCCAAGGTTTTCTGTCTCTCAGGGAAGCAGAGAGAAGCAATGATGGAGGGGTAGATTTCCAGAACTTTAAGGGGAAACAGGTACATGAGAGGAAAGGAATCTATAAACTGGGTTGAAGTGCTTTGAAGTGTACAGGACAAGCACTTGCTGAGTAGAGACTGAAAGAGTCTAGAAGCTAGCAAATACCTTGATATGCTCATAGACACCACAGGCGTATGTTAATGGAAGGGCCAGAGGTCCTTTTTGCCAGAGATAAGAATGCTTCCTTATAGCAGGTAGAAGCTTTTCCCCAAGTCGCTGAGCAGGTGCTAGCTTTTGTCTAAATGCCAGAATTTGGAAAAAGGGATTTCTTGGGACCAGACAAGTAGCTGTGCTGATATTTTATCTTTTCCTTTTGTCAACTGTCAACTCAAATAATTTAACAATCTACAATCCCCAAACAAAAAAAAGGGGGGTGGGCATTAAGACTACACAAGGCCACTGTGTGATCCCTCTTCTAGTGAAAACCACAGTCCTTCAGTCTTGTTTACTTTGGAGAAGATTTTACTACTCACCAATAAATGAACAGCCTAACAACTTCCTTTAGCACAGCAGGGATTGTAACTGATAGCCACACAGTGCGGTAGAGCATTTTCTACTTAGGTTATTTAACCTGTTGTTCAATTCTGCTTTCTTCTTTAAAAGGAGAGTTGCAGGGACATTTGATAATCATTCATTACCCATGAAAACACATGGTACGATTCAATATTTATTTATTTTCCTCTCCTTGCTCCCTCTGACTCTTGAATAAATGCAAAGTGACAGCACAGTTTAGTCAACTGTATCATGAAATTTTCATGAAGATCTATTTATTAAAACTCCTGTCTTATTCATCCTAGAGATTCCTGCAAACACAACTTTTGGTTTTTGTCTATATTGGCAGTTAATCTGAGGGTCTTGAACATTTCACCACTGAGCAACATGCCCTGCTCAAGAATAAACCATCTTTACTACTTAGTCTTCACATCACAGAGGAGAAATTCCCTTAACCAACATAACTTGAACCAATGCTTGACCTTGTTATTCAAGCAACTTTGGTTAGATCACAGAATCACTGAAAACTTCAGTTCAGTAGGGAAAATGAATTGCAAGCATCCTCAGAACCCTCAGTAAAAGAAGAAAGCCCCCTGGCCTCCACATGTACACATAGCACATGTACAACTGCACATGCATGTGCCTAGGCACACACACACACTCAAACAAATGTTGGGGGTTGGTCTGATACTATGTATTCTTATGCAAATTACTGGCCCCCAATTTCTGGTTGGTGCCCCAGGAGTACACATACATGGGTCTTTGTTGTGTAAACCTTTTTCTACCTAATTTAAAGTTAACTGGTTAATAAAGTTGCTGAAGCTTGTAACTGGGCAGAAGAGAAGTAGGCACAGCTTAGGTTCCCAAGTTTAGGGTCTTAGAGGGACCACGAGGCTGGGAAGAGAGAGAGAAGAAGCTGGACAGAAGGAGTTGCCATGGGGCAGTGTGGACCATAAGCATGTGGCCATGAGGGCTAGAACAGAAACAGACCAGACAGATACGATTAAGGCAAGTAACATGGGGTGTGTAGCTGAGAAATAGCAAAATATCTTAAAGGGTTGATACCTGCCCTGTTACTGTGCTTTAAAGCTTTTATAAATCCAAGAGGTCTTGATCTTGATTATTTGGGAACTAGCTGGGGTAGAGAATCCCTCTAGAGCCTAATATAACCATCCACATCACAAAATATCTTTTTAATTACAAATTGCATGCATTTTACAATGAACCATAAAAACATGCATTTGTCTTTAAAGATAAGGCCTCTTAAGTTCAGACTACTATGTACATTTTAACATCAATTTCTACACAAACTACACTGACAGGATCTATGATCTGGTTTATATTTATGTGGTAGCACAATTCAAAGCCAGTTGCAAATTTTAAAAATTTAATTTACATTTTAATGTAAAAAAAAATCTATTTTTAAATCAAAAGGACCCTGAAATTTCACCTTACACCCATCAGAATGGCTAACATTAAAAATTCAAATGACAACACATGCTGGAGAAGATGTGGAGAAAGAGGAGCCTTCCACCACTGTTGGTGGGAATATAAACCTGTACAACCACTTTGGAAATCAATCTGGCACTTTCTCCAACAATTAGAAATAGTGCTTCTTCAAGATCCAGCTATACCACTCCTAGGCATATATACAAAAGATGCTCAAGTACACAACAAGGACATTTGCTCAACCATGTTTGTAGCAACTTTATTTGTAGTAGCCAGAAGCTGGAAACAACCCTGATGCCCCTCAGTTGAGGAATAGATACAGAAATTGTGGTACATCTACACAATGGAATATTACTCAGCAATTAAAAACAAGGAAATCATGACATTTGCAGGCAAATGGAGGGAACTAGAAAAGATCATCCTGAGTGAGGTATCCCAGAAACAGAAAGACATACAGGGTATATACTCACTCATAAGTGGATATTAGATACACAATATAGGATAAACATACTAAAATTTGTACATCTAAAGAAACTAATCAAGATGGAGGACTCTGGCTAAGATGCTCAATCCCTATTTAGAAAGGCAAAGAGGATGGACATCAGAAGAGGGAGAAAACAGGGAACAGGACAGGAGCCTACCACAGAGGGCCTCTGAAAGGCTCTGCCCTGCAGGGTCTCAGAGCAGATGCTGAGACTTATAGTAAAAGGGTTAGGCTAACTTTGTAACCTATATATCTTCTAAAGCCTATAGTTTTGAGTTTTTGGTCCAGGTTAAGCTAAAGCCTCTTAGTACCTTTCCAGACAATGGAGGAATGTGGCCCTATCTGTGAGGACAGATATAAAAAAAAACAAAACAAAACAAAACAAAAAAAAAAAAAAACAAGCAATGACCTTCACTCACCAAAAAGAATGACCAGACCCTTGTCTTCAAGATAGTGTTTCTTAGCAACGAACCCAGATGGCCTCAATCCTTCTTCTGAGTAGCTCCTGACCTCCAGCCAAATCTTCAAGGATGAGCTAACCACCCCACCTTCAATTGCAGCTGCATCCACACTTGGCAGGACTGGCCAAGCTTGAGCACCTAAGACTAACCAATTATCTTACTTTACAGCTTCCTCATCCAATCCTAAATTGCCAAAACTGCAACTTCAAATTTCCCGCAATTTTTCTTTTAAAAAACCTAAAGCCTTTGTCTCCTGGTGCCACTCTTTGCTTACCGGCAGGGGTGACCCCATTGCGCAATGGTTAAATTAAACCTCTAGCTTTTGCAATGGGTTGCGTGGTCTGTGAGAGTTTCTGGGAAGGGCGCAATCTTAAACAACCGAGCTGTGAGACCCCAGGTCTTACAATAGCCAAACTTTGGGGGAAGTGAGGGGTATCTTATGAAGGAAGGGGGAGATAGTAAGACCTGGAGAGCACAGGAGCTCCACAAGGAGAGCAATAGAACCAAAAAATCTGGACACAGGGGTCTTTTCTGAGACTGATACTCCAACCAAGGACCATTCATGGAGATAACCTAGAACCCCTGCACAGATGTAGCCCATGGCAGTTCAGTGTCCAAGTGGGTTACATAGTAATGGGAACAGGGGCTGTCTCTGACATTAACTGATTGGCCTGCTCTTTGACCACCTCCACCTCAGGGGGATGCAGCCTTACCAGGCTACAGAGGAAGACAATGCAGCCACTCCTATGAGACCTGATAGACTAGGATCAGAAGGAAGGAGAGGAGGACCTCCCCTATCAGTGGACTTGGGGAGGGACATTGGTGGAGAAGGGGGAAGGAGGGTGGGAGCTACAGGGGGGATACAAAGTGAATGAAGTATAATTAATTAAAATAAAAAAGAGTTGAAAAAATTCTATTTTTAATCTTTGCTTCTAATTCATAAGCAACTATCAGTGACTATTTCTATAAATCTTTATGTAGCATTAACTTTAAAAACTCATTTTCTCAATTTACATAAGTGTTGTAGATACAAACATGCTTTGTTTTAATCCCAGGTGTGGGATGTGGGACTGATTCAGAGTATCCACAGCAGCAAACTATTTGCCTCATGTGGGTTCTGAGAGAAGCTCTCTGCCAGCTGCAGATAGTTTAAATCTTAAGGTTTGGGAGAGAAAATAAATGCCAGATCGCAGAGGGTGTTGAAGAGCTCCAAGAAAGAACAAGGCTGTTGCTGCTCCCCCAACTCCACCCCACCCCACCCCACCCCCAATCCTGTGGCTCCTCGTTGCTGTTGATACAGTGAAACAAGTTAGAGATCTCACGAAATGAAGATTAGACTGGCTCCAAAGAACCCAAAGACCCTACCCAGCAGGAAGCAGCTAAGAGAACAAAGCCCCTCTCCCACTGACCCTTTCTGTCTCTACCTTGTGTTGGGGTGTTGGAAGGGATTGGGGTGAAGTAAGGAGAAAGAGACATAACAAATGTAAATAAAGTTTTTTTAAAAGTACACCAACACATAAGATTTAAATAAACTACAATAATAAATACAGTTGACAAAAATATATCTGGGAATAAATGTAAGTGCCTCCTAGTGAATATATTAAAGTGGTGGGAAACTCCAGGCACACCGGACAGCAATCTACTACTGAATGGGGTCAGTGTGAATTAGTTGAGAGGGTTGCTAAACAGACTCTTGCCCTTACTTCAAGACTGCTCAGCAATCTGAGCCGCCTTTACCAAGCAGGATTTATTTCCCAATCTATTCAACACCAACTCTCCTTCCAATGACACGTTCTATCCCTGGCTTTGCCTTCACCAAGTTTGTCCTATCCACCTGAAAACCCATTTTCTGTTTTACCTGTGGACATTGAACTATCCTCCAGACTTGCATCAAAAGTTCTGATAGCCTGCCAGGTGTGGCAGTACACACCTATATAGCCTGTCATTGGCAAGACTAGAGGGAATGAAGGAGGTGAGTTTCTCATTAGGAACTAGAGGCTTAGGCTTCCTTATGTCTCTCTCCTGAGAGCTTCCATTACTTAGTCTACATCACATAACTTATCCCTTCAACTGTAATCCTTCATTATCCTCCTTTTCCTGCTCTGATTTTTTCCTTCCTGCTGGATTATTCCTATTAGGCAAATATGTACTAGAATCTTATTTCCTTAATTGCCAAAAGCTATGTACACCTCAGGGGCCAGATTTCTCTCCTCTCTTTAAAGCCATTTCTTGCAACAGTTGCCTGTTGATGGTACTTTCTCACTCAGGAAGTCCTGACAGTGTGAGCTTCAGCTTCACAAGCGAGATCAGTAACACTGTCCACACTCATCCATCTAGTCACTTCCATGTGTT